TTGAATTGACTCAGGACATCGAGGCAGTGCAACTAGCACTATTCACAAAAGAGAACTTCTAGAACTGCTTCAGAAACTGGCAAGAGCCAAGCGTGGTGGCGCACACCTGTAGTCTCAGCACTCAGGAGGCTGAGACAGGAGGATTTCAGAGTACTCAGGGCCAGCCTGGGCTACAAAGTGAGTTCAAGGACAGCCTGAACCAAACACTGAGGTACTGTCTCAAAAAACAAAACAAAACAAACTTGGCAAGAATGTTGTGAAAGAGTGCTGAAGTGAGTGGGAGTATTTGAGGGGCACTAATAGCAATGTGTGTTTTATTGTAACACATTCTTAAAAATTTAAACATTCACTGAGTATTTGCCTCACACTTCATACATGGCCAATCAACATTTATTGAACAAATGAGTGAACAAATGCTATATTAATTAGATGATTTTTGCAAAGAAATATTTTTAAGCACTCTACAAATTTCTTTGGAAAACTAACAACTTGTTAAGAAAAAATTTTTGCGTGACTATTATCAGTTATCAGATAAAAACCCTAACCAGCAGGTTAAGAGCATTTTGTGAATTGCTAAGTGGGTGAATGGCTCTGAGCTCAGCCCATCCATGACCCCTGCTGTGGGCTGGCCAGGCCTTGAAGTTCTGTGAGGTCAGGGGCACAGTGGTGCATAGGTGGAGTTGTTTGGGGACATGTGAGTTCACAATGGTTACTATTTTTCCCTTTTATTTTTTCCTTATAGTGGGTGGAATTTTCATACGGGTTTAAGAATGTGGTTGTACATTAACTGGAGAGTTTCTAATGGATGAATTTTCATTTATTTGACAGTACCTGGTGTGTCTTGTGTATCAGGAGTTGGGCTACATGTTCAAGGTTCAGGGTGACTAAGAAAGCCACTTCCTTGCCCTTGTGAATCTTATTTTCACCTGGCAGACGACAGAGACAAATGAATAGGCATGTACAGCCTTTGTGGCCAGGACCCTGAGAGCTCCCAACAGGGTCACTCAGGTGGTCTGCTTTCTGTTACTGTCACAGGATGCCTGAGACAGGCTAACTCTGCAGAAAAGAGACCCACATTTTCATTTACTAGGGGACCCTAAATGTGTTATAGGGGCTGGGACTATAGCTCGGTGGTAGAATGCTTGCCTCGTATGCTCAAGGCCCTGGTTCAAACCCAAGCTCTGCAAAGAACGAATGAATAAATAAATGATGTGGCCTGGTCTGGGCACTGAAGCATAGCTGGTGCTATTGCATGAGGGAACTCTGCTGTGTGTGGAAAGCTCCGCAGGCTGGCCTAGGGGTCATACAGCAAGCAGAAGAAGCAGGTCGGCAGGACCAGCCACTCCTGCTAGTGCCGGGTCTCCTGTGTTCTGCCAAGGGAGGAGAAGGAGGAACGTGGGCGTGTATGCTGACCTTGAGAGCTGAGCCGGCGCCCCTCAGGGCTTGTAGGTTGGCTTTGCTGACTCACCCAACTAGTGCAGCTTCTGGCCTTGTCTCTCCAGCCACTTGCAGATGCCAGTCTGTATTGCGGAGGTTCTCTAGCAGCAAGCTCTTTTCCTACTGCACTGATTTATGTTTTGTTTTTTTGTTGTTGTTGTTTTTTTTTGTTTTTTCTCTGGTACCAAGAACCGAACTCACGACCTTGCGCTTGCCAGGCAGGCGCTTTTGCCGCTGAGCTAAATCCCCAGCCCCTATGTTTTTTTTTAAAAATACTCTGTCCACTGAATCCCTGACCTCTTTCCTTGTCTTTTCCATGCTGAGTATTATTCAATTGTTATGCTGTATATTTATGCTTTGATCAAATATACCTAATGCTAGTTGGCCATGTTAGCACATGCTTGTAATCCCAGAAGTAGGAAGGCTGAGGCAGGAAAATCACCACAAGTTTGAGGCCAGCCTAGGCTACACAGTGAGCTCAAGGCCAGCCTGAACTACATAGTGAGAGCCTGTCTCAAAACACCAAAAAAAAAAAAAGTATACATAATGTATATATGTTTATTACTACAATTGCTAAGAGCAAATTATATACTATATATTCTGTAATCTGTTGTTAGAGTTAGATATTGTAGAATATTTCTAAGCAAAATCTAATCGCTCTTTCTTCACATCACCTCTTGCAGTCTTCTCTTCTGCACACCTTCTGCAGTCACCTTGTTGGAGCTTTCAATGCTAAGTGTCCCTCTTACTTTGGGCCCTTCCTGCTAGGGACTCTGCTGACCGCCGGTCCCTGGACAAGAATGGCAGCATGAGAAGTCGGATGGTGCCTTGCTGAGCTTTTGGGACCAGGGACAAGGGCCCAAAGTGGAAACAGAGTGGACCTGGAAGTCACTGAAACCTTGGTCTGAACTCAGGTTTTGCTAGAAAGAGCTGTAAATATTTGGGCAACTTATTTAACTCTGCTGCTTCTGAGTTTCCTCATCTACAAAAGAAGGATGAAAAGGCTGTTGCTGGGTACACAGTTAGGAAGTGCCCAGCACTCTCACAGCTCAACAATGGCAGCTGTAGCACAGAGGATCTGCAGCACTCTCTCCTCAAAAGACCTGCAACTCGAGGAAGATGAGAAATATTCTCATTGTATAAAACACAAGGAAACATGTTCTGTCTCTCCCTCTTTCTTTCTACTGATAATTGAACACAGGCCCTTGCACTGAGCTATATCCCTAGCTCTTTTTAAAATTTTTTTCATTCTGAGACAGGGTCTCCCTAAGTTATTAAGTTGCCCAGGATGGTTTCAAATCTGCAGTCCTCCTTTCTTGGCCTCCCAAAGGGCTAGAATTACAGGCATGCACCATGAAGCCTGGCTTCTACTTACTTTCACTTATATTGAGATGCACACTTCTCTGTATACCCACTAAATATCTAAGTATCTGTATACCCATCTAATTATAGTAGATAAGTATGTATCTAAATGTGATAAAATATAATACAATTTCCAAGGCTTATCTACTGTTTTACTTCTTCCTTATGTAAGCAGGAGGGAGTGGGTAGGGCGGGGAGAGCGAAGGGAAGTAGAAAGACAAGATGTGTTGTGTCCAGGCAGCAGCTCCCACGATGAATGTGATCATTGCATCCTGCACACATGGACTGACACAAACACAAATTTGAAAGCTAATAAAGCAGAAGGGTTACTCCTTCAAATTTGGAATAGGGGATTTCAAATCTCTAAAAATTGAGATAAATAGTACAGTAAGCATGGATACATCATTTCCCTAGGCTCATCAATAATTATTAATCAATTGCTAATAATCACTAACACCATTATATACACACTGGCACACAACTCTCCCTGGAGAGGACATTTTATTTCCTAGAGGGGTGCACACCTGCAGTCCTAGCACTCGGAGGCAGGAAGGTCGCAAGTTTCAGTACAACTTGGGTAATAGCAAGACCCTGACTCAACCCAAAAACTTAAAAAGAGCTGGGGACAAAGCTCAGTGCCGAGGCCCTGGTTCAACCAACAGGGACCTTAAGAATTCCTGTGGGGTCAGGACCAGAGGCTGTCTGAGAGGATAGTGTGGCCTGGGAAGTCACACTTCGCAGCAAGGTGAGCTGAGGAGGAGCCGGCCAGCTCCTGACTCACCTCCTTCTCCCTGGACAAGGTTACATTCTCTGCAAACCCACTTTCTTGCCTCCTCTGGGTCTCTTTGCTTCCTCCCGGTTCCTGACTCTGAATCCTTTCTCCTTCTACCTATAGGAATTCTGTTTCCTCTTTGGGTTTTGTCTTCCCTAAGGACATCAGGTCACACCTACATCAGCCTTCTCTGGATTGTTATAGTACCTCTTGTACATGGTATTTATTAAACATGATCTTATACTGTTCTCAAATTATTTTATATGGTTTCTATGAAATAAGACTTCATTTCTTTTGTGTGCCTTTCCAGATATTGGGAAGGCTGAGACAGGAGGATCTCAAGTTGTAGGCCAGCCTGGACCATTTAGTGAGACTCTGTCTCAAAAATTTAACAAGGGTTGGCTCAGTGGTAGAATGTTTGCCAGTATGCCTGAGGCCCTGAATTCAATCCCCACTACTGAAAAAAAGGCAAAAAAAAGAAGGCTTAAGCTCCATATGGGTAAAGACAGCATCTTTAGAACATAGTGGCTGCTTAAGAAATATTTATTACTTATATAAAAATGTTACTGTATAATTAATATAACATCATTAGTTTGTGAATTGATGGTTTTATTCATAGCTGGTAAGATTTTGAGTAATAAATATAGCCACTGTCAATGAAAAAATGAGTTTCCACAACTAACACACCATCAATTGCACTCCTAGTTGCTTTATATGATTGGCTTGTCTTTATCAAATGACGCACATCCATCACTTGTGTCAATATTAGAACAGGCACTTTGATTTAGGCAGATGTTACAGTCCAGCTGGGTGCCAGGTATGGTGACATTATTCAGACTGCTCTGAGGCTGCTGTAATTCAGACACTGCAGTAATTGGGATAACTGGATTGTCACTTGGTCTGCGCTATCATTTCCTCTATTGTTATTTGACACATGGAAACAATATGCTCCCAGAATTGCTTTACTTCTGGAACTGATATGCTGACAGCATGAATCAATATTCTTATTGATTCATCTGGCCTATATGTATATTGGGCCTAAACACAGACATGATTAAGTTGCTCAAACTTGTACATTTTTACCATGATATGATTGTTTCATGAGCCGCTCGCTATACATTTAAAAAAAACTTTCAGTAAGACTTATTTCCACTTTTCAAAAAACTGGAATAATTTTAAACTGTTTGTATTTTTAAAAAAATGCCAAAAAGACTCTTAGTCTCCCCAAGCAGCACAGTTTTAGGCATAAAATGATTCCACGTAGGCTATGTAATTTTGGTTTAAATAACAGCAGGAGGTTTTCTTTAACTTTGTCTAATTACGAGTGTTCTCTTGAAGGCAGTTTGTTATTTACTTCCAAGTTTCTATGCTTTTTTTGACAGACCTGTTTCTCTCACCCTGCCCTTTGTCTGTTTGTTTTCTGAGGCAGGGTTGCCCAGGCTGGCCTTGAACTCACAGTCCTCCTCACTCAGCATCTGAGTGTTGGGCTTGCAGTCATGCACCTCCACCCCTGCCCTGAGGGATGCATTTCCAGAAGTCTGAAGTAAGTATTTCCATCCCCCTAGGCAGGGTTCAGCTCTCTGTGTGCCACTGCTGTGGCTGGTGGCTGTGGGCCACTCAGTGGCCCTGGAGTCAGCCTGCCCTGCTGTAGACTTTGCTGGGCTCTTTTCCCCACAGAGGAGGTTAGCCATAACCTGCACACAGGACCCTGAGGTTTACTTCTATTACCTTTATTTTTAATGTTTTTCTGGTACTGGAGAATGAATCCATGAGTGCTGTACCACTGTGGGTTGCTCATCCTTCCATACATTTTCAGTCTTATGTCAGTACTTTCGAGTTTTTCCCATTCAACCTTCCTCCCCATTTGACAACAGGATTCCTCATCCTTGTTGTCATGGTGCTCTGCATGGTGATGGTCACGTCTCAGGGAGACCTACGTAACAGACAAGGCTAGGTCTTCCGTCTGGCAGGTTCTATTCTAACAGCAGTCTACGAGGTGTTACAGGTGTGGAGACTAAAGCTAAGACTGAATAGTAGACAAAATAACGGCCCCAGAGATGTTCATACTCTAATCTGTAAAGCTTGTGCACGCATATAGTACTTTACATGGCCATGCAGATGTAATTAAGGGTCAATGTTTGCGATAGGGAGACTATTATGGGTTAGCCCTGTGGGTCTTTAAATGCAGAGCAACCCTGGGCAAATTAGAGAGAAATGTGACAACAGAGCAAACAGAGTTTGGAAGCTTGAGGAAGGAACCATGAAAAAAACACAGACAGCTTCTAGAAGCCATAAAAGGTAAGGAAACAGGATTTTCTTTAGTGCTTCCAGAATAAACACAGCCCTGACTACACCTTGGTTTTAGCCCAGGGAGGCCTGTGTCAGACTTCTGACCTCCATAAATGAAAGATAACACATTTGTGTTGTTTAAGCCATGAAGCTTGTACAGCTCACCACAGCAGCAATGGGAAGCTAAGCAGAGCGACTTGCCTGCAGTCAGAAAAAGCTTTAAGAACGGGAGGCAAAGTGCAGCTTGGTTGTGCACATCTGGGATCTCAGCCCTTGGGAAGCTGAAACAGGAGGATCACAAGTTCAAGGCCAGCTTGAGCTACACAGAGAGACCATGTCTCAAAAAACCAAACCAAACTGAAACAAAACAACTGGACTCAAAATGTCATTGCTGTGTTTGGCCTTCCTTCAGGGCATGCTACCCTCTTAGTAGTATGTAGAAGACAGAAATGATGTCTTCCCACTCATCAATGAATCTAAGCAAGTTCTCTTCCTTCATTCTTTGTCTGAGTCTCTGGACAATTGAGTTGTCTTTGCTGTTGACTAACTGCACAATGTGTGCACTTCTTAATAGAAGCCAAGCTATGAAAGACAGTAGAGAAATTTCCATATTCCCTGAGAGTATCTTCTAATACTCCACTAATGATGATGCTGAAAAACAAAAGGTAGAAATTGTAAAACATAAGCAGAGCCTGTATTGCCTCTGTGGTATGTTTGCTAACAATGAAAATGCCTTTGGTTCTACATAGTATGTTCTATTCTATAGCAGTTCACTTGAGTTAAAATCACAAGTTAATTTAGTACCCAATTTGTATCAAAAGCTGTAGCTAAACTTTATACCAGCAGGCCATCTCCCACTCTCATGTCACTGTCTGTTGTTCTATTTACAGAGGAAAAATAAAGGCGGTGACTTGTAAATATTGACACTTAGGGAGGAGCCCCAAGAACTCCCTGTACTTTCATTCGCATCGCACTCGGGTCACCTGCAAAGTGGTGGGAGCCTGAAACCCTGCCAGCCACACAGCCTTTGGAGAGACTAGGTCACTTTGAGCTAAAATTCGAGACAGAAAGTAGCAATAAGAATAGAGTAACAAAAATGACTGGGTGACTGAAGTTATTCCTAAAATAATAAGTGAGATTTTGTTTTGCATGGATTTCATGGGATAAGGTCTCTTCCTTTCCGCTGTAGGAATCCTTGAAAATTGTATCTGAAAGCTAAGTAAGAGATAGTGAGGTAGGTAAAAGATGAACAGGAGCATGAACAGCAAATCACTTTTCTTCTCCAGTGAGAAGACAGCTGAATACTGGCAGGGAGTGGTTAAGGAAATCACGAATGGCTCATGTCATAGTTCTTTGATTTTATTATTTTCATTATTTTTTGCAGTGCTGGGGCTCAAACCTTGGTCCTACAGTGTGCTAGGGAAACGTTCTGCTATGGAGTTACCTTCCCAGCTTGTAAGAGTCCTTTTAGAACAGAACATGCTCTTTATTTATAGTGATTGTTAAATTAAAGCCAATTTTGGATTTGAGAGAATGGCCTAGTTGATTCCAGTAATTTACTTTTGTATAATTATTTTCTACTTATTTTTGGTGAGTATCACTCTCTTCTTTGTCTGTGACATTGAGAACAGAGGTGACTCAGATTTGAAAGCATCTTCCTGTCCATAAGGAGTTTTAATGATGGCAAAATATTTTTTAAGTCAACTATTTAGCCAGGCATGGGGATATAAGCCTGTAATCCCAGCACTCTGAGAGGCAGAGGCAGGAGAATCAAAAGTTTGAACCCAGCCGGGGCAACTTAGCAACTTATTGAGACCCGGTCTCAGAAACAAAAATTAAAAAAGGGCTGGGGGTGTAGCTCTGTGTGAAGCCTCCAGGCTCAATCCCCAATACTGCAAAAATGAAAAAGCCAAACCATCCCTATTTAAAAAATAATTTCTTTCCCAATAATTCATCCCAGAAGGTGCCTGAGATAGGCTCCTGTGGTGCTGTCTGCTCACTTTTCTATCCACAGGACAGACACAGACACAGCTGCCACACGTGAGACCGAGTGACTTCCCGCGTGGGAGTGGAGTTACAGCAGTGCTCGCGGATCATCTCCTTTGAGTTTTGTCAACTTCCACGAACTCTGAGGCACAAGCTGAGACTCCCAAACTCGGGGAATCCAGAGTCATCTGAAATCTAACACTTCACAGTGAGAACAAAGCACTCCAGCAGTAAGTACCCAGGGTAGTACAAACCCTTCCCTCCCAGTGCATTTATTTACCTTAAATGAATGACTGTGACCAGTATGCATTTTAACTTGGAAATAAACATTTATATTTTTAAATCAAATGACATATCTTCTTTTCTGCATAAGATTGATATTTTTGTGTATTGTGATATTTACGTGCCTTGTGTGTATTTTCTTTCTTTCCTTCTATAATAAGCTTTAACAAATACAGTGCAATGAATACTCAGGGAGATAAATGTATTCTATTTCCGGGCACTGGAATGGCAGCAACTTCCTCTTTCAAAACAAAGGCGTTGACTTTTTTCCAAAACATTCCGTGGTGCCCATGCTGCCGCTGTCTTGCCTGTTTGTACTCAAGGTTGGGAGAATGAATTTGATGAAGTATCTGGGCAGACAGGGGCTGAGCAACATACCCCTGTTCCTGGTGCCTTCCCACCTGTTTGGTAGGAAGGGCCTGGGGTGAACACCTGTGGCATTCACTGCCTGTATAACCTTTGTTCTTCGCTGGCTATTACTCTGTGATGAGCCCCCCAACCACTCTCATAGCCCCAGTTGACTGTTCAGGCTGAGATTCTGCTCCCTGGTATCCTGGTACCCAGGTCTTGTCTCAGGAGCTGTGGTCTTGTGCTGTGTATCCGCCTGACTGCAGAGATTCTGCCAAGTGTGGGCCAGTGATCTGAGGTAGAATACTCGTCTGCTTTAGACCTTTTGTTGGTGCAACTGGGAAAAATATTCCTTTTGTCAGCTGCTAACCCAGCAAGACATAAGCCTGGAACTATTGAGGATAAAACCCTGAGACAAACAGCTGAGACAGAGGCATATTTCTGAGGAAACTGTCAGAGAATATGGCTCCAGCCATGACTTTCCCATAGACTTCGGAGTTATGTGCACCCCAAGTTGGCTTTTTTCCTCCTATTTTTTTGAGTTGCTCCTGAGTTGAGATCTATTTGATGATTAAAAAGGTCGACAAATCACAAAGATGTTCTAATTATACCACGAGGATGCCGAACTGAATCAGCTCAAGATGACTTCCTCGCTCACTTCAGGCAACAGGTGCAGGAACCACATCAGCAATGTCGCGTCACTGCTGTCCCCGTGACAGACACTGCTAATCATCAACAGAGAGTGTGCAGAGTCCTGCAAGGAGCTGGCATAAAGTGCGAAGTGGCAGCATCTCAGGTCTGGTATTTTCTTAGATGTAAAGAAGCTACCCTGGGTGACAAATGCTTTAAGTAAAAGCACACAGCCCCCTTGGGAGGGTGGGTGTGCACTCTGATCTCGGTGACTATGGATCTTAAAATCCTGCTCTATTCTGTGCTTTTTCACTCCTGACATTTTCAGTTAGGTAATTTTTTTGTCAGCATCACAATAGATATTTATAATAGATGTAAAAAATATATTCATTTGGCAGGAAACATAAAAAATACATTGTGTCTGTCTTTCTTTCCTTTTCATCTTTTTGTAGTGCAAGAGATTATACCCGAAGTCTCATTCCCACTCCACCAGTGCTCTGCCACTCTGCTGCAACCCAGCCCTTCTTATTTATTTATTTAATTCTGAGACAGAATCTCACTAAGTTGCCTGGTTGGTTTCAACTTACAACCCTCCTGCCTCACCCTTTTTAGTACCTTGGATTACAGGTATGAACCAAAACACCTAGCTTATTGTGTCTTTTTTGAGGAAGAAAGAAAGTCTAGAGAAAATAGAATAATTAGCTTTTTATCTTTTTTTGTGGTACTGGAGATTGAACCCAGGCCTTTCGTGCTGAGCTACATTTCTAGTTCTTTCCTGTTTATTTTGGTCTTGCTAAATCACTACATTGCTGGGCTTGAGCCTGCACTCTTGCCTTAGCTTCTTAGGATCCTGGGATTACAGGCATGGATGCCATAGCCAACGAACTATGTGCACCTTAGCTGGCATCTCCCCATGCTCCTCAGCTTCTAGACTATGGCCCTCACTCTTCTACTCTCTGCTCCCATGAGTTTGACCTATAGTTCCGTTAATAAGTAATATCATACAGTATCTGTCCTTCTGTCCCTGGCTTATTTATTTTAACAAAGTATCTTCCAGCTTCATCCATTGTCAGTCACAACAACCTAGATCTAAATTCCACTCCCAGTCTCATGTATGAGAAGCAGGGCTTTTGGAAGGTGATTGGATCATGGGGTGCTGTACTCATCAGTGTATTTGCCCACTGATGATCTCCTAGCTAAATGTACTCTTAGGTGGGCCCAGGTGGAGAAGATGAGTCACTGAGCACAGGAGTTTGGAAGGTGGCACTCTAGCTCTGATCCCTTCTACTCTCTGCTCTTTGGCTACCATGCGTTGAGCATCTTCCCTCTGATAGGTCCTTCTGCATGATGTTGTTGTGGTGGAGCCAGCGCACTATGGACTGAACCCTCTCAAGCCATGAACCAAAACAAACCTCTCCTCCTTAGATTGTGGTTGTTGGGAATACCATCCCAGGAATGGGAAACCTGACAAATGTATCCGTATTGTACAAAGGACAGGATTTCCTTCTTTTAAAGGCTGAACACTGTTTCATTTAGTATATTTTATATATACAGTATGTAATTAGCATACTTATATACTAGCTTTTGAAATGGTCATATATTTTTGTTCTTTTTTTCTGTCACTGTGATGTACCACACTTACTGATTTATGTATTTTGAAACATCCTTGCATCTCAGAGATAAATCTCGCTTGATTGTTATGTGTAATATGCTAGTGAATTTGGATGGCTAAATTTGTTGAGGAGTTTTGCATCTGTATTTATCTTATTTATATTCGGCTATCAATTTTCATTCATGTCCTTGACTGGCTTTGAAATCATGGTTATGGTAGTGTCATAAAATAAAGTTGGAAGTGACCTTGACACCTTATTTTTTTTTAAGTGCATAATCTGTTTCTAATTTGTATATATTGTATTATAAAATTAATTAATATCTTAGTATACATGCACGTTATATATTCATTTATTCACTGAGTATTTCGACGTCTACCTTGTACTGGGTTCTGCTCTAAGTTATAAGGAAGAGCCATGAGCCTGGCAGATAATCTCAGGGTTTGTTAAGCTTCCATTCCAGTATCTAGAGCTTTTCTCAGAATGTCATCTGGGTTTTCTCATTTTTATCCTTAGCATAACACTGAAAGGATTGTGTGTTTGTGTGTGTGTGTCCCTGTGAGTATTTGCTGAAGATTGAGCCTACTGCCTTGTGCTTGCTAAGCACCCCTCTTACCCCCGAGTTACATCCCCAGCCCTGGAAGGAGGGTTTTATAATTTATGGACGAAGAAACTGTAAACGCAGAAGTGCTAAGTCCTTTGCCCCAGCCACACAGTAGTTGAGAAGGTGAAATCTGAGCAGAGGCAGGCTGACTCCAGAGCCTATGAATGGCATCAGGACAGATAAACTCCTTTCAGTGTCTGGGAGAAAGTGTTTGGTTAATACTTGTTAGTGCATTACTGTCTTAGAGAAAGGCAGGCCTTAGTACCCGGGCATTTGAGTTCAGCCAAAGGACATGAACAGATTTTTCTAGATCAACAAAATGAAGAAGAGGGCTGAACTGGGGCAATGGTGAGAGGAGGCGAGGTGGAGGGAAAGAGGAAGCTGGAATCACAATGGAACTCGCCCCGGCTTAGCACACTTTTGTCATCTGGCGCCTTGGCCTCCGACACTTAACACATGACACTGTTTAATCCTCACAGCTCTGTCTGGCCCCATGTTCTTGCAGCTCACTTTCTAGAGTGAACCGCTGTGGCAGGGCCCAAAATGAGAACAAGAAGTTTCAGAGGCAGGAAGAGCAGAGAGCAGAATCTGTCCTTTCTGGGAAGAGCATCAAATGAAAACTGGCCAGGCATGGCAGTGCACAACTGTGATCCCAGCACCTGGAAGGCTGAGGCAGCAGGATTTCCACAAGCTTGGGTTACATAGTAAGTTCAAGGACAGCCTGAACTGTACAGCAAGATAGCAAATCCCTGTCTAAAAAAAAAAAAGTATTTGCTTTGGAAACTTCAGCACCCTTTGGTGGTGACATTTCTGGGGGTAAAGTTGTGATGAGCCCCAAGCCAGGGTTCAGACATTCCTCAAGCCTGTAGTAAAGAATCAGCTGTCTGAGAAAGTTGCTCCTAACCACAGAGACTGACCAGGAACCAAGGAAGACTCCACGGACCCAGGTTTCCCACACATGTTCAGGTCCTAGAAGCCAACGGCAGCCTTTTGTTTGATCTTGGTTAGATACAAGTGCATGTCTCTGGGCATGTGTGCATGTGTGTGTGTATGTGTGTGTGTGTGTGACAAGGCCCCTCTGTATGTGTGCATGTGAGTGCGTGTGCACGTGCATGTGTGTATATGTGTGCAACTTGTGTCCTGTTTAGGAGAATTGTTCCCCAAGGAAGTGTTCATTCTGCCCAGGCTGAGAACACTGCTGCCAGGCTCTCTCTTCAATAGCACTGTAGGGAGCCAGCTATTATTTAAGCAGCTATTTTCTCCTGAGTTCACGTATCTGAAAAAGGTTCTTCTGTCACAATTATTACAGTTACTAGGAGAGAATTCCAGGCCATACTTTAATTTTTGCCTTTTATTTCTTCAGTATTGGGGATCAAACCCCGGGGCTACAGAGCTACATTTCCAGCCCTTTTTTTTTTTTCAAAATCGTTTTGAGACAGGGTCTTGCTAAGTCATTGAGTTGTCCAGGCTGAGCTCAAACTTGCAATTCTCCTGCCTGCACTGGGACTACAGGTTTGGGCCACAGTCCCCAGCCAGCCCATCCTTGGAGGCCTGAGTCTCCTTTATGGTTATTCCATTTGGAAGAGGAGACTAAATGTGATCTCACTTAATTATTGATTCTACCAGAAAGGATTCTGTCCTTTCTGATAGAAAATGAAAGGAATATGCTCAGAGCTGATTTTGAGCAGTGTATTAGTCAAGGTTCTGCAGAGCAGCAGAACCAGTAGAATGCATAGAACACAAGAGGGGTCCCTTAGATTGGCATATGCATTTAGGTGCTGCATAGCCCACAATGGCCATATGCAGGCTGGAGAGTCAGAGAAAGCAGTGAAACCTCAATCTAAGATGCTGGGAGTCTTAGAATGAGGGAGACCAATGAGGCAGCCCCAG